GGGGGAGGAGCAGGGCAGGGATTGGGAGGGCAGGTGGGGCCCGCAGGGGTCCCTCCCATAGTCCCCTCCCCCCTCCTCGAGCCCCCCTGACCCCTTACTCACCATCATTGGAGCCCTGGTGTTGAACACATGGCCTGGTGGGCCGCGTGTTTCAGCACCAGGGTGAGGGGCCAACCATGGAGACACTCTGGCAGCCGGAGCATCTCCATGGAGGACGCAGCCTCCGGTTGCCTACGGGCACGGTCCAGAACCATGCCCTGCCCCACTTTTTTTTATTCCAGTTTTTTTAGACCCCTGGATATCCAGGGGTCTAATTTTCTTCCCGCGCTGCAGACTTGCAGCACGGGGAACATTTTTTCATTCCCACATATGCTTCTTGCCCCACCTCAAAGGGGTTTGAGACGGGGCAAGAGGCACATGCATGCTCATCTGGACGCGCCTGTGTGTAGCTGGGGGACAGGAGCCAGATAGCCTTTCTGTGTGGGAGCAGACCCAGGCTACCTGGTCTGCATGTGGTGAGGGGGGACACAGTGAGCTGCGTGTGTGGCTGGGAGCAGAACCAGGCAGCCCAAACTGCGTGAGACAAGGGGAGGGGGAGTGGTTTGCCTATTCAATAAGAAAGCATGTGTCCCTGTGAATATGTGGCCCAGAAGCTGGACAGCCCTGGACTAGACAACAGAAATGTATGTTGCTACACTTAGATTAATATTTCAGAACTATCTACTAGGGCTGTGTGAAATTTTGGCAGCTGTTTCATTTTGGAGGTGTTTCGGCCCATTTCGACACCCAAAACACCAATTTCAAAACTAAATGGAAGGCTCCAAAACATCTCCAAAATGAAACGAAACCATCTGAAACATTTCAAATCTGTCCCTGAGGTCCCTTCCAATCCCAGTGCCCTGATTGCCACTGCCAGAGCTGGTGAGTACAGGGCTTTTTTTTTTTTTTAAGGTGCCGGGACTAGGTGGGGCCAGCCAGGCAGGGGATGGGGTTGGGCAGGGCAAAGCAGCCATGGGGGCTTCTCCTGCAGCTCTCCCCACCAGAGGAGCTGTGGGAGAACCTGCAGTCACCCAGCTGTGCCTGCCCCTCCCCGGCTGATCTGAATCTCCGAAACAGTGTTGAAACTCTGAAACAGATTCAGCCACATCGAAATGGAGCAGTGATCTGAAACACCGAAATGAATCACTGTCCTCCAAAACAGCCGAATCCAAACTCGAAATGAGACATAGCCGTTTCGTACAGCCCTACTATCTATACCCTTCTCACCTTTGCTTTCACCAGTTATTTCCCTACCTTTTCATTCCTGTGTACCACCACCTATTTGGTTTTCATCAGTTGTTTCTCTTTTCCACCTGTCATTACTTCTTATCCACTTTTTACAAAGTGGATACTTTACCTTTGTTACTTTACCATTCAAGATTTGTTTTAATTTATCCTATAATAGAAATCCTTATCAGAAATGCCTGAGTCTCAAGTCAATGTTGAAATAATGCTTTCTAGAAACTTGCTTTCTTTTACATTAGTATTAAGATGGGGTGTGTCTTATGGAACCACTATCACTGGGTATTGTCACTGCTCTCAAACAAAGACAATGACATGGTGTAACTGCTGGAGGATGTTACTGCAAATGTAGATCACTGTAGTTTTCAAAAATGCACCTTATAAACTTTTCCACTTCTAAAAGAATCTTCAGCTCCTCTTTTAGCCAAGGGAGGATCTATGAGGGGTGAGATGGTACAGTCTCAACCCACCTTTTGGACACCGCTGTGGGAATAACAGCCAGGGACTTTTTTTAAATCCCCAAAGGAGGCAAGAATCTCCCCCACCCCTCTCAGCACCACTCTCCTTCCCCTCTTTACTCAGCAGCACCTCCCATCCTCTCCCTTCCGTTTCTCCCATCCTCCACCCACCGCTGTTGCTGCCTCTGGCTAACGTGGGACAGGGGGAGCTCCAGAGCTGTTCCAACCTCATTCCAACCAGGCTGCGTGGGGAGCTGGACTCAGAAGGGACAGCAGCAAGCAATGGCAGCAGCAAGCAGGTTCTCTGTTGGTGCCTCGTCCTTCATGTGTTCCCCACCAACCTGGGAGCAAGTGAAGGGCCGGGGAATCCACTGGCAACCATTTCTGTCCCCAACAAAATGGGAGTAGAGTGCAACCACCCCTGCAGCACTGCTCACTGTTCCTGCACCCTCTGTTTTAAAATCCTGGATCTGCTTATGCTTCCAGCTTAGCCATGACTATTTATGATAAAGCAGAAAGAGAGAACACACGTGTGAAAGAAATGAATTGCTTACAATTTTTGTTGCTATTGGTATTCCAAGAAAGGTGCTAACAGTATAAAACATACTATAGCAGTGTAAAGACCCTAAACAGATAAAAGATATGCGGGAGTTTGTCACACATTAGGGTAATGTAGAAGTAAACTAAATCACAGTGGTGTTATTTTTACCTTTCTTGAATATCAAACATGTTCATTCTGAAGCGGGGGTCATAATGAAGCACAAGCTGCAAAAAAGGCATGTTATCTTATTTGATCTCTTCCAGAAAGGGTACACATTTATGGCTGAAGCACAGACTGGTGATTCAGCTCTGGCTGCTGGGAAATGGAGACTCCGTCTTATTGGTTCATATAACCCACTCCCCTCACTCTCTCGTGATGCTGTAAACAACTCTTATTCCACTAAGGAAATAAAAGACTATTACATACCTAATGGAAAGCACATTATATTCAGGTAAATTTTGAACATGTCATTTTTATAGTAGTACTAATAGAAAGTAGAACAAATTTCTAATATAATTTTTTCTGATAGAAATTTTTTTATTAGAAAATTAGAAAAATAACTGAAGGAAGAAGGTGGTTTTAAAGCAAATTATGTTTATTTAAATCAGATTTAAATTCACAATTCACAATCAAGGGCTTCATTTTCTAAAATATTAGCCCAGTTTAGTGTGGATAAGGGTGCCTTTGTGAAGGAACAGTATATTTAATTTATTATGTCAAAATAATATTATTAATAGTATGGATCCAAAAAAGTCTTATCCACTTTAATGATTTAAGCTTCATAATATCTGTTTGAGTTAGGAAAATATAATTTTTCAGATGGAGGATAAAATTAAGTGTATGTTCTCTATGTCACTAAGATACTGAACAATATAAGACCCAGGTCAGATCCTGAGTGAACTTCACTTGAAGCCTCTTCCCAATTTGAGTTAAACCAGTCGATGATTACTCTATGAAGACAAGTATCCAAGCTGTTTTACAGCCATCTTGACCTAGTTAAAGATAAACCACTTGCATAAGCTTTACACAGTCAGGGTCTAACTTTATACCTGTTCTTGGTAGAGCAGTACTATCTGTTCTTGGCAGGGTAGACTATTTCATGACAAAGCTTGAAATCAACAATGAGGTTATTTAGCATGAACAAAGGTGGCAGAATCAGCCACAAGTACAAATAGTTAAATTGCAAAGATGAAGATTAAATGGAAATATAACCAAATAAATTCTTCTTGTTTTCTGTTGCTGACACACTTTCAAAAAACGGAATTTTAAGACATTTTTCAAAAAACAAAAGTTTTTGCTTTAGGGTGGTGCACATACACAATTGCTATTTTTTAGTTTATGCTACCACTTTCACAGTATTTACAAAAAGGAATTCTGGCAGTCCTGTTAAAACCTTAGTTGATATCTGGTGATTTGACTAAGAGCATGTGGTAACCTTCAAGCTGAGGCTTGCTTTCTAGGGCTTCAATTATGAAAACAGTTTAATCATGTGCTAAATCTTTCATTTCAAGAAAGCCTTTAAGCAAACACTTTAAGCATATGCTTTCGGTGAAGCATTCATTTAAGTGTTTTACCTGAATTTGGCTGCTTTACTGAATCGATTCCAAGTATCCAATGCAGTTTATGTTGATGGAATTTTCTCCTATTTAGGTATGCCATAAAAGTCACAGCATCCCATATTGCCACAGTGCAGGTACAGACCTCTAAATCAGATGTATTCATTAAGCTACAAGTCCTGGATAATGAGGAAGAAATAGTGAATACCATTGGAAAGGGCCATGCAGTCATCCCTGCATTTAATTTCTTCTGTCCTGAAAGACCTTTAAGTTCTCAATGTAAGTACTATATTTTGTATTTTATACTTGGTCCCAGTGAGAGCACTCTAAAATAACTTTGGATAAGGGCTGATCTTAAACACTATCACAGAAACTGTTCCTTAATTTTTTTTTTTTACTTGTTAGTTATATCATTTTCCTTACTTTCTTGTCCCCTTCTACATTCTCTGTTCTGCTAAGGGGATCTGAAACATGGGGGAGGGGGGCATGTATTGCCCACAAAGACAGGTAAAGATTGAATTGACAGAGGAGCTGTTTCTAACTTTATTTTTTGTGTGTGACTTTTGCCTTCATTTTCTGTTTGGTTAATAAAGCAGTTCACATTTGTTATAAGGAGCCAAAGAGACAGAACCAGAGAGCAGGCCAGCAAACAGGGGAGACTGAGTGGGTGTCCTGCCTGGGAGAGGAGCAAGAAGCCATGGCTGCATGGGGAGAGAGTTTGTTAGTGCTGGTAAATATGAAGGCCTGCATGTTTCAGGCTTGGTGATGTAGGTTTAGTTTGGGAGCCATTTTGCAAGGTTGTTTGGAGAAATTAGTTGATTGTGCCTGATGGCAGTGTAAGCAAGGAGATGGGGCTTGCCTGGGTAGAAAGGTTAAGCTTCCCAGAGCACAGTGAATAAGGAGGAGAATAAAATGATGAGGAACAGCCAGCATGGATTCACCAAGAACAAGTCATACCTGATCAACCTGATTTCCTTCTATCATAAGGTGGCAGGCTGTGTAGATGTAGGGGAGAGCAGTGGATGTGATATACTTTGACTTTAGCAAGGCTTTTGACACACTATCTCATGACATTCTCATTAACAAGAGATGAAATACTAGATTAAAGTAGTGTAAAGTCGATACATAACTGTTTGGGTCATCATATGTCTAGTTGGGAGGAGGTATCAAGTGGGGTTTCCCAGGGGTCTGTCCTGGGTTCACTATTGTTCAGTATCTTCATTAATGATTTGGACAATTAAATTAAGTGCATACTTAGCAAACATGCTGCTGACACCCAGTTGGGTGTCATTATAGATGTTTTGGAGAGCAGGGCTAGGATCCAGAATGACCTGGATAGACTAGAAAAATGGTCCTCAATCATTCAGATGAGATTCATCAAGGACAAGTGCAGTGTTATTCACATGGGACAGAATAACTGCATGCACAAATACAGAAGGAATGATTGACTACTTTACAGTACTTCAGAGAAAGACCTGGGAGTTATAGTAGACTTTAAACTGAATATGCTGCAGCAGTGTTTTCTTGCAATCCAGGTGCAAAAAACGTCAATAGCAGACTGGGTTGTATTAACTGGACTGTCACTTAGAAATCAAGGGAAGTGATTCTTCCACTCTTTTTGGCACTGGTGAGACTTCACCTGGAGTACTGTGTCAAGTTTTAGGCCCCACACTTCAAGAAGTACCTGGGGTACTATTCCTATCAAAGACAGGAATACCCAATTACCTGTGGGGACACATTTCTCACAAGAAGACCACTCTCTCCAATCTCTCAGTCCTGATACTCAAAGGACTCTTACAAAACACTTCCCAGAGATGAGCCTATTAACTCCACTTCATCAACCTCCTGGATACTAAAAATCATGAACTAAATATAGACATTGGATTTATGACACATTATAACCTGCCTGACATCTGACTCCCCAGGTACTTCTCCACTATTCATCCCCCTTCTCCCCCCCGCCACCCAGCCTCTCTCTCACCCATGACTCCTCAATCTACATCTTCATTGACTGCCTGTCTTGTGTGCAGACCAGCACAGCCTCTGGCTTCTTTACTTTTCATTCCATCCAGGAAGAGTACACACCAACTGTTGAAACTTCTTTACCCTGATGAAGGGTTTTTGAACCCGAAAGCTTGCTTAATATTTTTTTTCCAACTATTTAAGTTGGTCTAATAAAAAATATCAGATTCACCCAAAGAACCTTGTCTGCCTATGTCCTTAGACCAACACAGCTACAACCTACATCCCTGTAACATGATTAAAATACAAGCATTTATGTCTTAGTCTAGGAAATAGCTCTTGACAAGCAATATTTTCCCCTTTCTCCTGGAACAACAACTATTTTATTCAGGGAAAG